ATCCTGAAATATGAAATCAACATTACTCGCGGAGTGTAGGATTGGGATGTGGAGGAAGTTTTCGAAATTTGTACTTAAAAAAGTACTAAATGGTATTGAATTTGGTTCAATTTCGATTTGGGTGAACTCAGACTGCCGCTATGGTGAAAATTGAAAATAAGACTAGTATTGAATTGCATGACTAACGTAGTTTTGGCACTAAACGGTACTAAAATGTACTAAATGGTACATGGCATTAAAATTAAAATTTGCGTGAACCGCTAGAGTTGGAATCCTTAAAGTTGAAAATAAGATTTATATTGGACTGTATGATGCAGGTAGTTACGAAAATTTGTACTTAAAAAAATTGTATTTAAAAAATTGTACTTAAATGGTACTAAATTTGGATTTGGGTAAACCAATAGAGCTGGTATCTTGAAAATTGGAAATAAGATTACTATTGCATTGTAGGACAATTTAGATTTTGGGTGAACCGGCAGAGATAAAATCCTTAAATTTGAAAGTAATATTTCTATTGAACTGTATGAACCAAATGGTACTAAATTTGCTACAATTTTGATTGGGGTAAACCAGTAGAGCTGATGTCTTCAAAATTGGGAATAAGATTACCGTCGGAGTGTAGGATTGGGATATGTAGGTAGTTGTGAAAATTTTGTACATATATGTACTAAAATGTACCAGATACAAATTGTACTTTATCAATTTGTATTTGGGCGAACCGACAGGGTTGGAATCCAAAAACTTGAAAATGGGATCACTGTGGGAAATTTGGAAATAAAATGAATTCTGGAACAGAGGAATGTAGGTTGTTTTGGAAATTCGTACTTATGTGTACTAAATGCTACTAAATTTGGTACAATTTAAATTTTGGGTGAACCGCCAGAGTTGAAATCCAGAAATTTGATTTGAAATAAGATTTCTATTGGACTGTATGATGTACATAGTTACGGAAATTTGTACTTAAGTGTACTAAATAGTACTAAATATAGGACAACTTGGTTCTGGGAGAAACAAAAGAGCTGGTATCTTGAAAATTGGAAATAAGATTACGGTGGGAGTGTAGCATAGGGATATGTAGGTAGTTTTGTAAATTTGTACTTATTTCTACTAAAATGAACTAAATAAAGTACAATATGTATTTGGGCGAACCAACAGCGGTGGAATCCTAAAACTTGGAAATGGGATCACTATGGAAAATTTAGAAATGAAATGCATTCTGGAACAGAGGAATATAGGTTGTTTTGGAAATTTCTACATATGTGTACTAAATGCTACTAAATTTGTGTACTAAATGCAATTTAAATTTTGGGTGAACCGGCAGAGTTAGAGTTCTGAAATTTGAAAATAAGATCTCTATTGAACTGTATGATGTAGGTAGTTATGGATATTTGTACTTAAATGTACAAAATGGTACTAAATTTTGTACAATTTGGATTTAGGAGAAACAAAAGAGCTGGTATCTTGAAAATTGGAAATAAAATTACAGTCGGAGTGTAGCATAGGGATATGTTGGTAGTTTTGGAAATTTGTACTTTTTTGCACTAAAATGAACTAAATAAAGTACAATTTGTATTTGGTCGAACCGACAGGTGTGGAATTCCAAAATTTGGAGTTGGGATTACTGTAGGAGTGTAGGATTGAGGTGTGTAAGAAGCTTTGGAAATTCGTACTTATGTGTACTAAATTTAGCACAAATTGGAATTGGGATGAACCGATGGAGCAGGAATTCTGAAATTTCGAATGAGGGTCACCGATGGAGTGTAGGATAGGCGTACGAAAGGATTATTGGAAATTCGGAAATTCGAACTTTAAATTTTAGAAATGCTCTAAAGTGGCATGTAACTTCTAAAATGGTACCATTTGGTATTATGTGAACAGATAGAGCTAAAACTTGAAATTTGGTATGAGAACCAAGATTGAAAATTAAGTTCGATATATGGAGGACAATTTGGAAATGTGTACTAAGTGTGCGATATGTACTAAATGGTACTGAATTTGAAAGAGTTTGGTTTACGGTGAACCGAAGAAGTTGGAATTTGGAAATTTTCTATTGGGGTTCCTTTGGGTGGTAGATTTGTGATAAAGAGATGGTTTTCGAAATGTGTACCACAAGTGCACGAAAAGCACTAAATAGTATTATATTTGGTACAATTTCGTACTAGTTTAACAGATAGTGCTTGAAATCTGAAATTTGGTATTAGAGTCGCTTTTCACGTGTACCCAGAATATAGGGAGTTGATTTCGGATATGTGTACTATAAGTGTATGAAAAGTACTAAATAGTACTTAAGCGGATATTGGATAAAGGGATAGGGCTGCAATGCCGAAATTTGATATTGAGGTCTCTGTTATTGTCCGTAATTGAGATATGACGGTGGTTTTGGAAATTGTACGTAAAGTACTAAATAGTACTAAATTTGGTATTGGGTGAAAGGGATAGAGATACAATTCTGAAATTTGATATTAAGATTAATTATGGTATCTGTGTTTGAGATTTGGCGGTGGTTTTGGAAATGCGTCCTATTTTTGTACGGAAAGTATCAAATGGTACTAAATTTGGGATTGTGTGAAGAAATAGGTCTGGAATCCTCAAAATTAATATTAAGGTCTCATTTGGTGTCTGGAATTGATAAATAGAAGTGATGAGGAAATGTGTACTATATTTGTACGAAAAGTACTAAATATAGTACACATTTCCTCATCACTTCTATTTATCAATTCCAGACACCAAATGAGACCTTAATATTAATTTTGAGGATTCCAAAATGGTACCATTTGGTATTATGTGAACAGATAGATCTAAAACTTGAAATTCGGTATGAGAACCAACATTGAAAATTAAGTTTGATCTATGGAGGACATTTTTGAAATGTGTAGTAGGTGTGCGAACTGTACTAAATAGTACTGAATATGAAGGAGTTTAGTTTAAGGTGAACCGAAGAAGTTGGAATTTGGAAATTTTCTATTGAGGTTCCTTTGGGTGGTAGATTTGTGATAAAGAGATGGTTTTCGAAATGTGTACCACAAGTGCACGAAAAGCACTAAATAGTACTATATTTGGTACAATTTCGTACTAGTTTAACAGATAGTGCTTGAAATCTGAAATTTGGTATTAGAGTCGCTTTTCACGTGTACCCAGGATATAGGGAGTTGATTTCGGATATGTGTACTATATGTGTATGAAAAGTACTAAATAGTACTTAAGCGGATATTGGATAAAGGGATAGGGCTGCAATGCCGAAATTTGATATTGAGGTCTCTGTTATTGTCCGTAATTGAGATATGACGGTGGTTTTGGAAATTGTACGTAAAGTACTAAATAGTACTAAATTTTGTATTGGGTGAAAGGGATAGAGATACAATTCTGAAATTTGATATTAAGATTAATTATGGTATCTGTGTTTGAGATTTGGCGGTGGTTTTGGAAATGCGTCCTATTTTTGTACGAAAAGTACCAAATGGTACTAAAATTGGCATTGAGTGAAGAAATAGGTCTGGAATCCTCAAAATTAATATTAAGGTCTCATTTGGTGTCTGGAATTGATAAATAGAAGTGATGAGGAAATGTGTACTATATTTGTACGAAAAGTACTAAATTGGACTACACTTGATATTGGATGAAGGGATAGGGCTGCAATCTTTAAATTTGATATAGATGTCGCTGTTGGTATCTGATACTGGGATATGGAGGCCGTTTTCGAAATGTGTACCATAATTAAACGATATGTACGAAAAGTAAGTAGTACTATATTTGGTACAACTTCGTATTAAAATCCGAAATCTAGTATTAGGATCGCTGTTCATGAATACTCTTGAAATATGGAGGTTGTTTCTAAAATATGTACTATAATTGTACGAAAAGTACTAAATAGTACTAAATTTGGTATTGGATGAAGGGATGGAGATACAATTCTGAAATTTAATATTTAGATTAATGATGGTATCTGTGTTTGAGATTTGGCGGTGCTTCGAATATGCATCCTATTTTTGTACGAAAAGTACCAAATAGTACTAAATTCGGTAATTGGTTAAGGAATAGGGCTGGAATCCTAACAATTGATATTAAGGAATTGGTATATAGAAGTGGTTTCGGAAATGTGTACTATATTTGTACAAAAGTACTAAATGGTACTAAATTTGACATTGCATGAAGGAATAGAGCTGAAATTCTGAAATATGATATAGATGTCGCTGTTGGTGTCTGTGGTTAAGATTTTGGGTGGTTTTGGAAATGTGTACTATAATTGTACGAAAAGTACTAATTTTGGGATTGGCGGCTGAAATCCTTCATTTAATATATATGTCGCTGTTGGTGTCTGGGATTGGAATGTGTATTATAATCATAAGAAAAGTACTAGGTGTACTAAATTTGGTATTGGGTGATTAGATAGGGCTGGAATCCTCAAAGTTGAAATTGAGGTCTTTTTTGGTGTCTGGAATTGAAATATGGAGGCGGTTTTGGAAATGTGTGCAATGTGAATTTCTGGCGTTTAAGTAGAATTTAGAATTTTGATGTATTCTGAAAGCGATGGTAGAATTTTCTGGTCAATAATTTCAGAAACGTTCAAAAACTCCATTCTCCTACTCAATCCCTCTTAAGTTGTGATTATAGACGCGACTCTTTTTCTCTCAGTGTATCAAAACTACACCAGGCAGCAGCTAAACAAGTGTGAACGCACACAAATTTTATTGATAACGGAAATAACGAAAGTCAATTTATTTTATTTGATTTAAATCACCTGGCTTTTTTTCGTTTGACACGAAACGCAGCAGCAATTTAAATGAATCTCGTTTCGGAATAGATCCATTAAAAAACAACCATTAATAACAGCCCTACGTCTTTTCATCGCGCCTGGATTTGTTAATGAGATTTTAGTTATCTCACAGCCAAAAGACATAACTCAAAAAGTCTTTGAAATTAATGTCAGAAAAAGCCATTCATTTATGAGCTACTTTGCATAAAACTCCAAAGAAGAGAGGGAGAAAAAAGAAAAACAAAGCAAAGTAAAATCACAAAACATATTTCGTCAACAACTACTGTTGACTGCGGGCCATGTTTGGAGGCAGTGTTGCCACCGAATATTAAATACAATACCAAACTCTCAAAATTTGTCCAGAACATCTAAAATAAATTATTTATTTGGGAAACAGGTTTTGTGAATACAGAATTTGGAGATCGGCACTTGTAGGTATTTAAAGGTACTAAAATTTGTTATTTTTGGTCTAAATCTAAATAATCTAATATCAGAATTTTTTCTCTATCCCTTCATCCAATACCAAATTTAGTACCACTTAGTATTTTTCGAACAATTATAGTACACATTTGCAAAACCACCTCCATATCTCAATCCCAGACCCCAACAGCGACATCAATATCTGATTTCAGGATTTCATCCCTATTCCTTCATCCAATACCAAACTTAGTAATATTTAGCACTTTTCGAAAAATTATTGCACACATTTTCAAAACCACCTCCATATCTTTATCACAGACACCGACAGTGACATCTATATCAAATTTGAGGATCCCAGCTCATCCCTTTACCCAATACCAAATTTAATACTATTCAGGCCTTTTCGTACAAATTTCAATTTCAATTCCAGATATCAACAGAGAGCTCAATATCAAATTGGAGAATTCTAGCGCTATCTTTTTACGTTGCTTCTATAAAGACAACAATATTGGGATAAAGCCCAACTCTATAACTCTATCCTTTCACGCAATACCAAATTTAGTACTATTTGGTACTTTTCATACAATTATTGTACACATTTCCTAAACCACATCCATATGTCCAGGCTATACATGCATACAGCGGCTCTAATACCAAATTTTAGATTCCAAGCACTATCTGTTCTCACCCATTTCGTATAGCACTATTTCGTACTTTTCGTACAATTATAATAGACTTTTCCTAAAGCACCTCCATGTGATCTAGCTAGTCATGAATAGCGGCTATAATACCAATTTTTTGATTTCAAGCTCTATCTGTTCACCCATTACCAAATTGTAACAAATATTGTACTATTTAGTACTTTTCGTGCACTTGTGGCACATATTTCCAAAACTATCTTTTTATCACAAACCTATCACCTACAGGGACCCCAATAGAAAATTTTAAGATTTCAGCCTCATTCGTTCACTCTAAACCAAACTGTTCCAAATTTAGTACAGTAGACCCACTTTTGGTACATATGTTCCACAACCACCTTCATAAATCAAACTTATTTTCCAACATTTATTCTCATACAAAATTTCAAGTTTTAAACTATATATGTTCACATGACACCAAATGATACCATTTTGGAATTTTAGTACCAATTTATGACTTTTCGTAACCTTAAAGTTCGAATTTCCAAAAACTCATTGGTACATCTATCCTGCACTCCAGCAGAGACTCTCATGTCAAATTTCAGAATTGCAAATCCATCGGTTGATCACAATTCCAATTTGTAACAAATTTAGTACCATTTACTACACATAAGTACGGATTTGCAAAGCATCCTACAATTCTATACTTCCACAGTAATCCCAATTCTAAATTTTAGGATTCCAACCCTGTTGGCTCGCGCCAAATACAATTTGTACTTTATTTATTACATTTTAGTACATATAAGTACACTCCGACAGTAATCTAATTTTCAATTTTCAGGATACCAAATCTATTGGTTCACCCAAACCCAAATTGTACCACATTAAGTACCATATAGTACATTTAAGTACAAATTTTCATAACTACGTATATTTATCAGTCCAATAGAAATGCTATTTTCGAATTTCAGGATTCCAACTCTGCTGGTTCTTCCAAAATTTAAGTTGTACCAAATTGAGTACCACTTCTCAGTCTTAGAATGCAATAGCAATCTTATTTATAAATTTCAGGATTTCAACTCTATTGCTTTTCCCAAAATTTAAATTGTACCAAATTTAGTACCATTTAGTACACATAAATACGAATTTCCAAAACTATCTACATAACTCAGTTCTACAATGCGATAGTAATTTTATTTCCAAATTTCAGGATTCCAACTCTATTGGTTCTCCTAAAATTTAAATTTTGTACCAAATTTAGGGCCATTTAGTACAAATAAGTACGAATTTCCAAAGGTTCCTAAGTACCTCAATCCTGTACCAGTAATCCCAATTCCAAATTTTTGGATTCTCCCCCTGTTGGTTCATCTAAATACAATTCGTACTTTTTTAGTACATTTGAGTATATATAAGTACAAATTTTCGAAACTACCTACATAGCCTAATTCAACACCCCGACAATAATTTTATTTCCAATTTTCAGGATACCAGCTCTATTGTTTCACCCAAACCCAAATTGTACCACAATAAGTTCCATTTGGTACTCTTAAGTACAAATTTTCATAATTACCTATTCGTTGAGTCCAATAGAAATGCTATTTTCGAATTTCAGGATTCCAACTCTGTTGGTTCTCCCAAAATTTAAGTTGTACCAAATTTAGAACCACTTCTCAGTCTCAGAATGCAATAGTAATCTTATTTATAAATTTCAGGATTTCAAATCTATTGCTTTTTCCAAAATTTAAATTGTACCAAATTTAGTACACATAAATTTCAGGATTCCAACTCTTTTGCTTCTCCCAAAATTTGAATTGTACAAAATTTAGTACCATTTAGTACACATAAGTCAGAATTTCTAAAACTACCTACATTCCTCAGTCTTAGAATGTAATAGTAATCTCATTTCTAAATTTCAAAATTCCAGCTCCATTGGTTCGTCCAAATAGAAATTGTACCAAATTTAGTACCATTTAGTACTTTCGTGCATATAAGCACAAATTTCGAAAATTTCCTCCATATCCCAATCCCATACTCCGTTTGTAATGTTAATTTCGAACCTTGATTCCCTCTCCAAATTTTAGCTCTAACCGTTCACCTTTTAGCTCAACCGATACGAAATTGTACCAATTGTAGTACCTTTAAGTACTTTTCGTACACTTATAGTGCGAATTTCCAAAAAACCTTTTTGGTACACCTATACAGTCCAACGGATTGGTATCCGGAGATTTTGGTGGCCATTGTGCGCGGCCAAAATGCTTCTGTACGCTTGTAAACCATATAATGAGCTGTCACTGGAATAATTTTAACAGCTGTCGGACGAGTGGCTTAGAAATGACAGCAGTCTGAAGTTGGTTGCAGCTTTTTCATCTCACCCTGTTTATACACCATATACTCCATCAGTGACTCTCAATCCAAATTTTAATTCAATTCTAGCTCATTCCGTTTGTCGAACACAAAGTATTTAATTTTTAGTACATTTTCGTTCGATTATTTTTTTTAGTTCGAATTTCTAAAAGTCCGGCCTTATGACTCGCCTACGCACGGGGACTGACCCTGGTGCAAAATTTGAAGATACTACTTGCCTATCCGTGTTATTTGGGCGTTTATTCTCCATCAGTTAGTCAGTTAGTTATTTCTCCCTCTCTAACATAATACTCTCTCTCTCTCCCCCTCTCTCTCTATACAATAATACTCTGTCTCTCTACACCAATACATTATTTTATGATTGAATTTCTAACATTTCGACCAAAATTTCAATATTGAAAATCTCCTCTAAAATGGCAACACTGCCCCCTCACTTGGATCTCTGCCAACGACACATTGGCGTGCAGAGAATTCTCTTCTTTTTTGGACTTTGTTTTTGGCCTGAGCTGGTTATGCTAAGGTGTCTTGTTTGCCGCGGAAGAGTCAGCAGTTGGTGTTGTTCGTGGAAGAAAGAAGATCCATTAATTGCCAAACAATATTAGTTCGGAGCGGACATAGCCGCAGCAGCAGTAGTGGTAGTAGAAGTGAATGTTTTACAGTTTCGAACGAAAACAAGAAAATCAAATCAAAACACCATATCATAAATAATAAATAAATTTATGCGCATGCCCAACAATGTGCCAGGCGTTCGAATGCTGAAAGTTTTGAATATTGTGATTTATTTAATTAAAATTTGAAAATAAAATCAAAAAAATCTTCCACTATCACCAAAAAAAAAAAAAAAAAAAAACAAGACTGGAAATGTCATCGTACTACAGATTTCTGGTGAGTGTCTGGGAAATTATTAACCACCCACCCCGCATATCTGAAATGAGTTTGAAGTGATATCTTTAGGTTTCTTTTTACAGTTTGTTGTTCTGTTCGTTCTTTTGCCCTGCTGTTGTTATGCCCATCCGGGCTATAGTTATGGCAAAGGTCAAGGCCAGTATGGAGGCTATGTGAGAGGTCCGGTGGTCTACAGAAATGATGTGATACAGGATTTTGAATATGTGCCCACGGTCCAGGGTTATCGTTACAAGTAAGTCTGAAATTTTTAATTGAAAATTCCACTTTTATTTATTTCCTCATTTTCTTTTCCCCACTCCCTCCCACAGCTATGTCCTCAACGATGGCACCTCACGCAACGAAAATGTCCTGGTGGCCGGCACTCCAAGTAGTCCCCAGTCGAAATTGGATGGCAAAAACACAGACCTAACAGCTGTTGGTGTGGGGGGTAGGCATCGCATGCCAACGAAAAATCGTAAATTGGCCCCAGGTGCCCTTAAGAGTTTAGCAGGTTAAAATAAGTGTGTGTGTGTGCTCGTGTGTATGTATGTGTGTAGGGGGATTTTTTTTCTAGCTAATTGTGATTAATAACGAATTTCATATTTTTTCCATAGTTTTTGTTTTTTTTTTAGTTGATTATTTGTATTATTATTGTTTTTTTGTTTTTGTTTTTGTTTTTGTTTTTGGTTTCATCAATATATGTTTTTTTAGCCAATTTAAATATCTTTTATGCCATTGTTTTAATTGTTATTAATGTTCGGTTGATAATAGCCAATATAATGATGTTGCAGTGGCTGAATGATTACCCCCAATGGCAATGATGTTGACTTTGTTCGCATGACCTTGATTTGAAATTACAAAGGCTTTGGGGCAGATGTTGGGTCGCGATATTTCGTAGTTTATGAAATGAGGTATTTGGGTTTTGGGTTGATAATTTTGGAATTGCATGTACAACATACAAATTATATCCAGGCCTCAGGCGTAATCATAGACAGGGTTTATATCATATTTTCCAATTTATTTGATTAAAATTTTTAAAAAATATTCGACTGAAAAATATTATATTTTTAGGGTATATTTTTTATCCAAAAACGTGGACTTATTTTGAAAAATTTTTGCTAGTAGCGTTTCTGCACAAAAAGTTCTCAAAACGCATAAACTTGACGAAATTGAATGGGAAAATATGACAAAAATTTGGAAAATATTTGCAATCGGAATTAATTTTATATGTTTTCGAGAACAATTATACATTTTTTAATTATACCCTACAACACTATGTGTTGGGGGTATTATAAGTTTGATTGGGCCAGAATTTATGTAACACCTCGAAATATTGGTTTCCCATATAGGAAAGTATATATGGATCTTCCTAGCTCGCCGAGCTGAGTCGATCTAGCTATGTATGTCCGTCCGTCCGTCTGTCCGTCTGTCCGTCTGTCCGTCTGTCCATGTTAATTTGTAATCACTCTACAGGTCGCAATTATGGCCCGATCTTCACGAAATTTAGAATGGAGGTGGGACTGGGGTCAGAATAGAACCCTATTTCTTTTGGAGATGATCGCCAAATGTTTAGGGGTTAAAATGGACCAAATACTGAAAAAATGTCGGATTTTGCAGAAGCTATACAGGTCGCAATTATAGACCAATCGACGCGGAATTTCGCATGTAGCTGGAGTTTAGGGAGGGGAAGAAGCCTACCAATTTGGGTGGTCATCGGATAATATTTAGCGGGAAAATAGACCATATCTTTTGTATTGAAAAAATTCAAAATTTTTCATCAAACCGCGAATATTTTAAATCCCGGCGAAATCATAAAGCCATGACAAGGTTACTTCTGACCTTTACATTGATGTTAACATCCAACAAATCGGATATATAGCAAAATATGTGCGATATATATGTCTATCAAAGAAGATATGCTTGAAAGATCTCATATATGTCGAGAACGGCTGAACGGATTTCGACAGTTCTCATTAATTCAGAATGGCCTCTTGGCAGGAAAGAAAAAACGTCTAAAAAATCGCATAAAAATATCTCTCTAAAGATTAAAATATTGATTTTGTAACATTTTTCATATTTTTTCAATTTTGTCATATTTTTGGCATATTTTCATTTTGAATTAAACATTTGGTAATATTTCTACAGCTAACAAAACTAAGTAGTTAGGATATCAGGATATCATATACAGATCGCATTCATGGGTCGATTCTTACGAAATTTGGCATGGGGATAAGATGAGGGTCAGAATAGAAGCCTACTCTTTTTGGAGATAATCGTCATATATTTAGGGGTTGAAATGGACCAAAAAAACTGCAAAATTGTCAGCAGGTCGTAATTATCGCCCGATCCTCACGCACATTTGAATGGGGGTTACCGGACATTGCAAAAGCCAAGCAGTTTCTAATGGCCATCCAAAAATATTCAATGTGTGAAATAGTTTGCCAACTTTTGTAGACAAAATACGAAAATGTCCATTCCAGTGACTTTTTGGAGAATTCACAAACACAGGAAAGACGCACTTCTGACTATTTCGTTAACGCTGATTTAGTTGAAGAAGATAGTCAAATGGCTGTATCTCATATAGATGCGTTTCAGTCAAAAACCAATAATAAATGTTAATCTTTTGCCACTTCTGAGAGATTATAGGTCTTTGGGAAATATTGGTTCCAGATCAAGGAAGACCATTTACGTGCAACATCTACCAATAAATTGGAAATGAGCAAATTAGTTTAAATTGCTAGTATTCGAAAATTAGAGAACGAAACATGATGGTTTGCTTTTATTATTTGTCACAATATCTTGTGGAATTCTTTCGAGTATCTCGCCTATATAAACTGTATAATTTATTATGTGTTGTAGGGTATTCAACGGTCGGCCCCGCTCGACTGTAGCCTTTGCTTACTTGTTTTTATATATCTTTAGTGACTTTTAGTGAAATTTTACGCAGAATATTTTTTAGGGTTTTGTTGAATTCTGAGACCTATAGAAAAATTTTTATGATGAACGTTTTTAGAATATTTTGATCTGTTACGATCACATACATCTTGATTGAGTGTTTCAACGTTCTTATGAAAATGACTTAAAAGGCCCCTTTAGTAACTTGACTGAGGGTTAATTTTTTTTTAATATTTCTCAGATTTTTGGCTGTAGCATTGAATCGCGACAATATATACCTATAAACCTAAAATGCACTGTTAACAAAAAGATTTATCAAAAAATTTTCAAAATTTTTTTCTTTTGTTGTTGCAAAATCGTCAGGCAAAATCCCATTATTGTTGTTTTTATAAAAACAACGTTTGTTTATTAGTGGAGAACGATGGTAATGTTTACCAGGGGGTAAGGCAGGGAATACCTAGGTTTCGGAAAGAGCCACCAATCCTCATCAGTTCCCTTGTTTCTTGTCTGGGATATTCTCCCCAGAAGTTATTTTAAAAAATAACTTCTATGACAAAAAACATTTTTTTACCCAAGTGACGAGATCGTAAGCTCAATAGAAGAGGAACCAAAGAATTACATAAAACTAAAATTCTTTTGGAAAATCTTCTAAATCTTACAACCGCACTTATAAACATTTACATCTTTCTCCACTTGTTATGGTATCCCAAACAAGCAAGCCAAACACTGTTCAATTTTTTCTTTTTTAATTTTTATTTCCAAAAATTGAAAAATTGACTGAAACATCAACCGACTGTAAAATTTCACTCCTAATGCAAAAATGTTCGCCTAAGCCTGATATAAATATTACCACATGCTATAAATATTACTACAATATTTAAAGAATATTGAAGATTGATTTCCAGCTTAAAAAGAACTAAGCCTCTCAAAAAAAAAAAAAAAAAAACAGTAGATTATTTGTTTTTCTATAATTACAAGGAGGAATTCAGTAGATTCTGAAAGAAGAGCAAAAAACAGAAGACATGTCTGTAGGCGTTTTTATACCCTCAGCCATATGGCTAGAGAGGGTATACAGGGTGGGAACGCCATCATTTTTACATTTTTTTTAAATTTTCTTCAATGAAAGCAAAAAATGTCGGAAATAGCATCAAATTTTAGAATAAGTTTAGATTTGTTCGAAGTGGTCACCTTTGGCATGAATAATGGCCTTCAAACGGCCAATGAAACCGTCACACGCTGCCCGAATGTTACTCTGCGGTATTTTGCCCCTTTCTCGGCGAAGCCGTACTTTTAGTACCAACCTTGCATTCCAAATACTCCAGACACAATAGTCCAACGGATTGGTATCCGGAGATTTTGGTGGCCATTGTGCGCTGGAAATGAAGCGAGGAACCTCATTTTGTTACCATTCTAGGGGGGCGCGTGCTGAGTGCGATGGTGCTGAGTTGGTGCCTGTTGGAATGTCCAAGGTCTGCGGTCAAAATTTTTGCGTACCTAAGGCTTTAATATTCCCTCTGGAATATTTTCGATATAATATTCGGCGAAGAACGACCATCGGCTGTTATGGCGTCTCACTCCATCACCATTGCCGGCGCTTGAGTTCTGGTGGCCAACCGATGGTGCACATTTCCAGCTGACCTCTTTGGCAAGCAAAACACGACCATTTTGTTTGTTTACAAACTGCTGGACAACGAATGTTTTCTCATCGGAGACAGAGAAAACCAAATTCGGCAGTTCATCACTTTCGGTCAAGCGAAGGAACTCTTTAGCTTTTTTGAGTCTATTTTCTTTCTTTCTGTTGTGGTGTAAGTTCTTGCATTTTTTGGAATTTCAATGGCTTTACGCCGAGCTCATTTTTCAATATTTGCCGAATGGAATATTGCGATATGTTCAGCTTACGAACCATTTTCGGCCACTGCGATGCGGGTTTCGATCAAGTCGCTTCCTTACTTTTCGAACCATTTCTGCTGATGTTGCTGTTTCTTTCGTCCACTTCCTTGACGTCGGACTACGCTACCAGTATCCAGAATCACGGTAACGAGTTGTGGTACGAAACCCAAAGATTTATTTAAATGCTGGAGTGCTCTAACGATAGCCACTTGTGGTTTTCCAGCCAAATGTAAAGAAATCACACTATCACGCTTGAATTCCATCTCGAATAACTTTTTTTCTGGGAAATTCTCACCAAAATGCTTTTGTGCGCTTCTAAACAATATATGAGATGTCACTGGAATAATTTTAACAGATGTCGGACGAGTGGCTTAGAAGTGACAGCAGTCTCAAGTTGGTTGCAGTTTTTTCATCTCACCCTACACTACTACAAAATTTCATAAGTCATCTTTTCTACCGAAATTTGCTAAGGTGTGATAATAATGCTTCCCGAATAATTGAATGAAATTTTGAAAAATCCAAGGTCGTATAATGTTGGGTCTTTTTTAAAAAGAAATAAATAAAATTGCTCCAGGACCATGTAAGCCAACATTTGGATTTTTATAAGAACTTCTTGGTCAAGAATAATAATTATTTTTATAAATGTTTGTGATTATGAAATTGTTTGGCAACAAAAATAATTTTTCAACGATTTTTTTCGACCGAAAACTCTTTGAATTTAAAAATAACGATTTTCCAAAAATATTGTTCTCAGCCTAAGGAAATCATGACCAAAAATAATGGATGTTTTGAAAATATTTTCCTACGGCTTTCGGACGAAGAATAGTAAATTTTATAATATTTTTCAATAGCTTTCTGGCCAAAATCTATAAATATTTTTCAACGGCCAAGAATATGCAATTTAGTTCTTAAATGTTTTTCAACGAATTTCTTAAAAGTATATTTTTTTAAATATACATACAAGAATGATGGGTTCTTAAAAAAATATTTTTTAACGATTCTCTTGGCAGGAACGAGGTTAAGATTTAATTTTACTTATCGCCTGTTTCTCACGAAATTTTGAATGGAGTTGAGGTTAAGGTCAGAACAAATTACTTTTTTTGAAGATGATCGCATAAATTTAGGGGTTGA